GATTCAAATTAGTACCCAATAAAAAATTACATGTATTCATTTATAGTCAAGCTAAGAAGAGCCTAGTCTTACAGTAGCAGAAGATGAAAATGCATAATGTAGATAAGGAGTCGACTTCCTTAGGCTAGATAAAATGTACTGAAAGGAAAGACAGAAGAATCTGTGTATGTAAGAGACATTGTCTGGCTCTACCTCTTCTGGAATGCAAGTGCTTAGCTGTGATTAGAAGTAGTGTCAATGAAATATGAATGCATTGTAGCATTCCTGACCATATTATACTATATCTACATGGTATTTCATGTAACCCCTCTGTATCTGAGCCTGAAAGAAGTTAATAAAATATATGAGGATAAGGAAAGAGCTGGTGCCCTCTATATAATAGTAATATCCCTGGTGCAGCTTGTATAGTAAGGTGACATTGTCGTTAGGCTCTTTCTCTGTAAGTCAATCACACTTCACAAATTAAATTTTATCATCAAAGCATGATGTAGCTCTTACCTGATGTACTCTTACTTTGGGAGGGAAGAGTAATGATCTTTTGCAATTGTAATAAACAATACATATTATATACAATATATACAATATAAAACAAATATATAGCTAATATTACTAATATGTTCTTGCTAGTGCTTACAGAACCCCTAACCTTAGAATAATGAAGTGCTGGCAAACCTTAGGTAATACCAGAAACTCCAGCGAGAGTGAACTGTCCATAATTAGTGTGGAAAGTCTGCGGCTGCCAAGTCCTTAATTCAGCCGGATCACACAGGAGTGCCAGGGCTGCAAGTAGCAAGCCAGCATTGCTGATTGCTCCTTTCTGAGACGCAGAGAGTACTTCCAAAACCAACCTAAAAAAAAAAAAAAAAAAAAAAAAAAGACACCCCTGTTTCTTGTTCCTATGCTATTCAAATACTTAAAATCCTTTGCCGCTTGCTTCTGCACGGTAGAATAGGAATTGTACTTAGGTAGTCTTCTCACCTTTCTCATCCGGTAGCTTTCTTTTTTTTTTTTTTTTTTTTTTTGCCTGGAATGAAGCATCAGTGAAGGATACGTTTGCAGAGGTGTGAGACTTCTGAACAGCTTCAAGACAGGGAAAATTTGCTCTCAGTGAGCTGAGCCGGCACCTGCAGACTTTTGCCATGCCACGTTTTCTGTTGTGAGCTCTCAGAGCATTTACCAAAGCTGAATAGCATTCCTAGCTTTAGTAACTACAGAGGAAAAAGACATAGAGTGAGCTGCCAGGGACACAAATCAGTCCCACAGACCAAAGTTGCCCATCTTGCACGCACATAGGTAGGAGGCTAATTTTTTCAGATGAACACTGAACTGAAAAGGGCATGCATGTGAGTAAAATGAAAGATTAGTCCTTATTTTAACCATTAGCTTCTGTCTGCTCCCACATGAACTGATTTGCCAGAAACCTCAGAAAGTTTTGATATCTTTCTAAATCACTGGATTTGTCCAATTTAGAGTTGAATTTAATACAGATTTAATTTTATTTAACTCTGCCTGTGTTTCCTCTGAGATGTTGACATTTAATGTCTGTGAAGCTAGAATTCAGAAAGGCCCAATATTATCTTTTAACCTTTAGTGAATTTAACCTCCAAAGGAACTCCTGGCAGTTTTAATTGGCTATGATATTATCTCAAAACATTTGTTCTTCAAATATTCCTGTTCTTCACAAAGTGGAATAACATGTAATTATTTTAGTATGTAAAGTAGTAAATGACCCCGTAAATGAAAATCAAATACAGGGAGAAATTCTGCAGATGTTTAGTGACTGTGGAACAAACACCACACTAACTCAGGTGAAATATTCCTTATTATATAGACTGATTTTCAAAGCACATTTGTGCTGTTTGTTAGTCTTAATGGCTTAGCCATGTTCCAGTTAGGTACTTATTTTCCTGAAAATGAATTCCTTAAGATAACTAATGCACTAGCTTATATTGAGGCATCATTTTGTGTTTGATCTAGGGAAAAAAAAATAATAATACATTTTTTTCTATAGTTTTTGTCTGGAGCTACAGTTTGCTAGTTAGCAATTACAAAGGAGTTTGTTTGATGTATGAAATAGGAACCGATAAGAATCCATAATGAAAAAGTGATTTTATTCTTCATTTAACCTGTTTTTGCCAATAAGATAATAGTGTAAAAGAAACAACAGAACATTATTTAGGTAATTTGGCTTTCCTAGTCATTAAATTGCAGCCATGCTAGGTTAAGCAGTTTCCTCCTTTGACCGTACTCTATTTAGGCATGCTAAGAACAGTATATGGAAAATACCTAAGTAATAACCACTGGATAACAGAAATTTGTGGAAAGGTGTATTCCTGCCCAGGGGAAGGCAGATAGTATGAGGAAACAAAGACAATATCCAGCAGTTCCAAAACTGTTAAAAAATACAAAGGAGAGCAGGCTTAAGGGATGAAGGAAGGGTGGCTTTACTGTGTTTACTTCAAAACAATCACACATCTTTTACAGGCAGCAGTACAAGTCATACAAAAGATTGAGCTTGTGTGTTAGGACTTCTCCTGTAGGCTTCACATTTAGGTATCTGGCAGACTGTTGCTCTGCATTGACATAACAGTCTTTTTTGACATATAGCAAATTGAAATGTGCAATAAAAAGTATGTTCACATTAGGACCCCGGGAGAGGGCTTCTAAGTAGCAGTATGTAAATCAGGAACTCTCCATTCCTTGGAAGGAAATACTTCTTCCTTGGAGCAAAAATCATGAAGCTGATGCAAAGCTGTTCTCAGATGGAAAGCACCATGATACTAGAATTCCTCTTCACAGGAGTGGACCACTTTTGGGCTTCCTTTGTTGTGTGAAGAAAGATTTTTGATTAATGCAAGTGTTTATTTGCTTATTTTGTGAGATCAGAAATGTTTAGTTTTACTTTTGCTTGAGGAACTTAGGAAAGCCCAAGGGATATTAATTGGGGAGCCTTGAAATCTGATGTAAGGCAAAAATTAAGCAACTGTATTATCATTCTAAATTTTGTTGGTTAGTAGAGTTTTGTATTTTGTAATGAAAAAAAAAAAGCCAAATTTAAGGATTTTTAAATAATGTTAT